AAATCTTTACGAGACCTCCGGTTGGCGTCAGAAAAGTTGTTTTATCGACAAATATCGCCGAAACGTCGCTCACTATCGATGATGTCGTTTATGTAATCGATTCCGGATTAGCCAAAGAAATGCGTTTCAACTCTAATCTCAATGTTTCGACGTTTGGCACGAATTGGATCACAAGAGCGAACGCAAAGCAGAGAAGCGGTCGCGCGGGTCGGGTCACAGAAGGAGAGTGCTATCGGATGTACACTCGAGATATTGAATCGAAATTTATGGACGAGTTTCCAACGCCTGAAATCTTAAGGGTGTCCTTAGAGAACGTTGTGATGACAGCTAAGTTTCACTGTCCCGAAGAACCCATTAAGCAATTCCTGTCAGCAGTTCCAGAGCCGCCCACTTCTAACTCTATTTGTAGAGCCGTTCAGTTACTGAAAGATCTTAAGATTCTTAACTCAAGTGAAAACCTCACTGTTTTGGGCAAAAGAGTAGTAAATTTTACAACAGATCCGAGACTTTCTGTCGCATTAGCCTATTCTTCATTCTTCTTGTGTGTAAAATCAATGCTTCCATTGGTCTCTCAGTTGAGTACAAATCGCGAACCCTTTCAAGTGATGCCAAACGAGAAAATTCTAATCCGAGAAACTAAGGAATTGTTTTCTTATGACATATTCTCTGATCACATCCCATACGTTGACCTAACTCTTGAGTACGAAGATATGTTGAACAGTGGATCCGATGTTGAATTAAGATGTTTTTGCGAAGACAATCATTTGCATCGATACTCAATGAAGACTATCTCAGAAACAATGAAACTTTATGCGTCTCATATGGAAGAGTCTCAACTCATACCGAGAGATAGTTGGCATCGTTTAGACAATGATGTGAACTTCAATTGGCACCGCAAACACCTTCTTATATGCGCTTTAGTTCCGGCCTTTGTCTCCAATTACGTCAGATTAATGAGAGGAGAGATTAGGAACCAAAAGCTCAAAGAAAATACTTTGAATGAAATCGACGTTAAGACTGGATCTAAAGTTAAATTCACGTCCGAAAGTATTTTCCACAAAAATTTTAATTCTGACGAACAATTGGATCGACTCTCGAATGCGATTCTCATATACTTCCGGAGTTTCTTCTCAGAAGACGCCCGAATGCTAACCATTTGCGACGCCTCTGAGGTGTTGCCCATCGCTCTCATACTCTTCTCCGACAATAAGTTTGAATTCAATTTCAATGAAGACGTCATCAAAAATATAGATTCACGAGAAGAATGTGTCATTTACTTAAATAATAACAAATACTTAAACTTTAAAGTGAAGCGAACAGACTTGCAATTAATGAGTCGTTGGATAATAATTTTGAAACTTCTATTCCAATGGCATATAACGCCAAAGCAATCCATCGATTCAAGCGATAACCAAATGATTACTAATTATCAGCGAGATTTCATACAATTAACCAATGAATTGCTGAGAGAAAGCACTTTTTAATGTCTATTTAAGTAGATTTAAGCAATTCATCATATATTTTATGACATATTTTTAAAACATTGTTTATTTAATACATTATTAAAGGATACATAAAATGAATAAAACGCTTTTTCTGTACATTTATTAAATCAGATATATTTGATATATTTTTTACAACCAATAAATCAAAACAATAATTGAGAAACTTTCAAAGTGAAAAGAAAGTCAATTAATAAGCAGTAATTGTGTAATACTTTATAATATATTATTTCCAATAAAAAGTGATCGAAAAGCGAAGCACTTATAGTTTTCGATGAAAATTCAAATATGATTTCAAAACCAACGGAAGTGGCAATCGATTAACGCTTTGACGCATCAAATATGAATAGCTCTCTTTGTCCTCTTCCACCACTTTCTTCTTCTCCTCTTCGCGTTCATCAGCTCTGGTCTCATCGCTAGAGACTGTACTCACCATTTCGTGATCACAACTACTCGTTGAAGAATCCGAGTCAAAGTCGGCGAGTGCTATGCGCTTGAATATAAGTCCAGTCGCACGACGGATACGGTTTAACGGGTATATCGGAGACGATGTCGAAGAATTCGAAGCTCGAGCTCCAGAAGTGTTACCATTCAATGGCTGAGAGGATGGGTTGGGATCCTCTTCATCGTCTGGTATATAAAACATATTATAAGTGTTAATACAATCAATCACTTAATAAACAGCAATAATATAAGATATGATACACACCTGTAATACTGATACTCCGTTTAGTGCGTTCAGTGACTTCGGTGTTGACTTCGGTGTTGACTTCGGTGTTGACTTCGGTGTTAGCTTCGGTGGTGTCTTCTTCGTTATTATCCTCCAAATCCATTTGGTTTCGATGTCTTTCCTCAACTCTCACCTCATTATCAACTGATTCTTGTCGATCCGTTTGATCATTTGGTTCTGAAATATCAGTTAAATTATTATCCGAATCGCGATTATTAACCACTTGTTGAAAGGCAGCAGACAATGAAGAGGCGGCGGCCGCCACAATACGGCTCGAGAACGAGTCATTAGAGTTGTCGCCATTAGTGTGTCTTTGGTTTGATGTACTATTGGTGTCGTCACTCATCGCATCATTCTCTTCAAAGATGGGAATAATTACTCGACGATTAGTTCTTCGCGGCGGACGTCTTCCTCTTTCACTGTTTCTAATCTTTTTAGACATTTTTCTGTTTTTGCAGACATTCTTCAAAGTGATGGATGGCTGCTCTGCTTCCGCTTTCTTACGTAAATGAGTTCTTATAACCGAACGACACATTTCTTTGAGGGAAAGCGGTTCCAAATCAGCTGAGAGTTCATACAAATAGAAATCATTTTTTAATAAAAACTATACATGATTTGCGGGTAAAACAATAGTTAACCTCAATTAGAGGAAAACAATTTGAACATTGAAAATAAATGTACAAAAAAGTCTCATAAAAACATTCTCCATAAGCTTAACATAACAACAGGAATAACAATATCCCATAATATTATTATCTAACTTTATTATTTATTATCCAAATCTTTTCACAATCTTTGCAAAAAGGGTTTACATTAACATTAAGTATAATAAGGAATTGTTTACCACAAGAGGTGAAGGAGGGAGAGAAAGGGGTAGAGAGATCTATATAAACCTAAATGATGTGTAATTGCTATTAAAAATGTATGTAAGGATAACTCACGTAATTTAACTGATTTAAAGGCGCTGTTATGTGTGGGCGTAACCAAAGGGGCGAAAGAGACCGGAAGTACAGATTTGACAATCCAAGAGGTGTCTGATGTCCGCCGTATTTGAAGCAAATGTTCATTCAATGGCATAATAAGAATGCCTCCGACTTTAATCAGATTTTTCATATAATTCTCGTGTTCGGGAGGACAGGAGGCGCCGCAATAGACTCTATCGTATTGTCTCATCGATGCCGTGTCGATGAGNAATTGTAATTCAGATCTGAATTCAAGTTATGTTTCAATCGGTTGTCAAACGAGTTATGAATTGATTGAAGAGTTGTCTCAAAGAGAAGACAATACAAGACATGAAACACAAGACAAAGGATTGAATACTCGAGAAGTGATTGAATCAGACATTGAATCCAATGATGGCATCGATTGTGATATTAATGTGGAATCAGATAACGAGACAATTGACGGAACAGTTGATGAAAATGTTGTCACAAATGAAAGCATAAGTATTACTGAAGAAACAAACGCTGAAAGTGTTGTTAAAAATGAAAACACGAATGAAATACAAGTTTTCAATAATAATAAAAACATTAATTCAAATGTCAAACAAACAGAAGAGTTGTCTCAAAAGGAAAACATTATAATTAATAAAACTCCGAAAATAGAGTTTTGTGTCGAAGAAAACACTGAATCAGACATCGAGTCAAATGATGGCATTATTTGTGACATTAATTGTGATTCAGATAACGAGACAATTGATAAAAATGAGGACATTATTGCAATACAAATGAAGAATGAATCGAAAGACAGCGAAACAGAAGAGTATAATAACGGGTCGAGTGATGAAGAAATGGACAGCAATTCAGACTCTGATTACTCTGAGAGGAAGACTAAGAGGAAGAAAATTAATGTCAAAACTGACGGTCCGTTTGTCTGTGATTTCATGGGTTGTGATAAGAAGTATAGCTATGAAAGAGGTCTCGATAGACATAAACGTCTAAAACATTGCTCTCAAAGCAATGGTCGCGACGATCGGGAAGTGTTGATGACTGCAGACAATATCGATGACAATATTTCTTTGTTTGTCTGCGATTTCATGGGATGTGACAAAACATTTAACTCAGAAATACTTCTAAATGAACACAAAGTCATACATTCTGTTGAGATTTGCGATCAAGACATGGATCCACAGAATACTGCAAAGACATCCGAAACTGTTATCCAAATCCCGTGGCGTAACAAACGATATGTTTATTTCTGTCCACAAGAGAACTGTTTCCGACATTTTTCGTGTTCGAGTTCTTTGGATTATCACCGAAAGAATGGCACTCATGAGTGTAGAGACAAGACATACATCTGTGGTATCAATGCATGTGATTATAAGACTTCATCCAAACATGAGTTACAGAAACACATATCGAGTGAACACAAGAAGTCGGGAAACAAAAAACGAGATCTGATTCGACATAAACGCAAACATTCTGTGACCTCCGATGAAGACATGGATTTACAACAGATTGAGGAGAGATTTAAAGTCGATAAACACATATCAAATGAACACAAGAAGAAGTTTGTATGCGATGTGAAGGGATGTGTTAAGTCATATAGCTTTCCACAGGGACTCTATACACATAAACTGAAACATTTGGGACACACCTATAGGTGTGATATCGATGGCTGTAATGATGTCTTTCCCATTAAAGAGTACTTAAATCGACACAAGAAAACACACACAAGAAAGTCGAGAAACACTAAACAAGTGGCAAATGGCAGATATTTCTGTCCACAAGAGAACTGTTTCCAACATTTTTCAACTATAAATGGTTTGAATTATCACCAAAAGTATGGCACTCATGAGTGTCGAGACAAGACATACATCTGTGGTATCAATGCATGTGATTATAAGACTTCATCCAAACATGAGTTACTGAAACACATATTGAGTGAACACAAGAAGACGTTTGTCTGTGATTTCATGGGATGTGACAAAACATTTAACTCAGAAATACTTCTAATTGAACACAAATTCATACATTCTGTTGAGATCTGCGATCAAGACGTGGATTCGCAACAGAATAACGATATATCGGAAGTGATGAAAGACAGCGAAACAGAAGAGTATAATAACGGGTCGAGTGATGAAGAAATGGACAGCAATTCAGACTCTGATTACTCTGAGAGGAAGACTAAGAGGAAGAAAATTAATGTCAAAACTGACGGTCTGTTTGTCTGTGATTTCATGGGATGTGATAAGAAGTATAGCTATGAAAGAGGTCTCGATAGACATAAACGTCAAAAACATTGCTCTCAAAGCTATGGTTGCGAAGAAATGGACGACAAGTCAGACACCGATTGCACCGAAAGACAAACTAAGCGCACAAAATATGATACGAAATCTGACGGTCAGTTTGTATGCGATTTCATCGGTTGTGGAAAAAACTTTGCAACAAAAGATTCTATGACTCAACACAAAAGCATACATTCGTGTCAATCCTATCGATGCGAAGACTGTGGAAAAGTATTCAAATCCAACTGGTCTTTAACTAAACACAAACGCATACATTTAGGTGAGACCTATCGGTGCGATGACTGCGGCAAAACATATCCATCGAAACTGAGGCTAAGCGGACACAGGTCTGCAAAACACGGCACAGCCTATCAGTGCTCTCATCCGGGATGTGATTACAAGACTGGACAGCAATCAGCCCTTAATAACCATCGATTAAATCATGTAAACGACTATCAATTCAAGTGTTCAATCAATGGCTGCGATAAACGTTTTAAAACAGAAAAGTATTTAAATGATCACCAAATGAGAGTACATCCCGACTCGTTTGCAGACATACCATGGATTGAATGCTCGCATACGGGCTGTCAGTATAGGAGTAAATGCAAAAGAGAGATAAACACTCACATTAAAGAGCACACAAATCCCTGTATATGTGAAGTATGCGGAAAATCATTCACATCTAAGAGTATTGCCACTCACCGCCGGACTCACGACAAGTCGTTGCAATTCACGTGCGAATGGCCTGAATGTGAGCGAACATTCATTACTAGGGCTGCAATGATTGCACACATGAATACACACTCGGCTGAGACCACATACCGGTGCCAATGGCCCGGTTGTGACAATACTTATGTTAATAAAGTGTCGTTAAGTGTACACCAAAAGAGAGTACACAAGGGTTTGCTTGAAAACAAGTGTCATTGGCCTGAATGCGAGTACTCGACCACTAATCCCATTAGACTTCATAATCATATCGATAGACAACACAAGGGTCTGCAGGACTACCGGTGCTCTCATACGGGCTGTGATTATACGACCAATAAATGCGGACAATTAGACACACATATGAAGACTCATAAAAATTGATTTTTTATTTCTAACTAGTTTTTTTTAATTTATGAAATCATTTGAATTAAATATATATTTTTATATTACATTATTCAAAATAAACTAATTTTATTACAAGTATTAAATGAATTAAAAATTAATTAAAACTGTATTAAAGAATAATAGTTTTGGTGAGTACTATATTATGTTTTACCAATACAAGGTGTTTTAAGTTATAATCTATTTCTATATCAATACTATTTGATTATAATTAAAATTAGTGTTTTTTGTTATGCAGTAACAGTTGTGAAAAATTTAGGGTTTAAAACAATTCCAGAATATGACTGAATCTCAAAAAGCATTTATTTTTAGTTTAAAATTAAACATATTTTACTATACATTAAGAGTTGTGGAAAATTTAGGGTTTAAAACAATTCTAGAACATGACTGAACCTCAAAAAACATTCAAAAAGTATCAAGTTATGAAAGTTATGATCAATATACATAATTAATGGTTATTTTCACTAAAACTGCCAATTGTACGCTGTGTTAATTAAGTGTCCCGTAAAAACATGTCCTAATATAATGTTACAATTATACTGTAATTTAGTTTTGGTCAATCGTATTATTCATGTGAACATTTTTAATGCATCGATCTGTAAAAATTTGACCATAACCTGTGTTTATGGACCATAAATTATGGTCATTTGCAAGTTTTACCTTTAAAATACACCTTTCCATACCGTAGGAATTACATACTATAAGCAGTTATTATCATCATGATCCATTAAGTTTCTATTGGGATAATTTTATTAAACATGTTTAAATACATTTATTAGTCAAAACATTACAATAATTTTCATTAAAAATTAAATCACTGTATATTATGTGTCTTCATATGAGTGTCTAATTGTCCGCATTTAGTGGTCGTATAATCACAGCCCGTATGAGAGCACCGGTAGTCCTGCAGACCCTTGTGTTGTCTATCGATATGATTATGAAGTCTAATGGGATTAGTGGTCGAGTACTCGCATTCAGGCCAATGACACTTGAGACCCAACACACCCTTATGCTGGCGAGTAATGTGTGTTTGTAACACACAATTTGATAAATAAGTTCTGTCACAACCGGGCCATTGGCACCGGTATGTAATCTCAGCCGTGTGTGTATTGGTGTGTGTCTTGAGACGACCTGTAGTGGCGAACGTGCGCTCACATCCGGGCCAATCGCACCGCAATAGCAGCTCCGAGTCGTGAGTTGTCATATGAATGCGAAGACCGTCTGGTTTAGCGAATCGTTGGTCGCATCGGTCGCACGCGTGAGGTCTCGTCTCGCGGTTCCGGTGATTGAGTTTATGTTTACTGTAAAACACTTTACATTTGGTGCGAAACGCGCAGTTCGGTCGCTGGCACTCGAGCCACGGCTCGGCCGGGAACTGTTGCGGATGGTGTCGGCGCTGATGGTATCGCAGGTATTTATCGGTCGTAAACGATTGGTGGCAGTCATCGACGAGTCGACACACAAACGTGCGGTCCGTCAAGTGAGAGATGTAGTGCTGCTTTAGCCGCGACTCCCATCCGGTCACGAACTGACAGCCCTCGCGATCGCACCGATAGGTCGTCCCGTGATAGCAGCGTTGGTGTCTCGAAAGCAAATCATTGTTTGGGAATCGCTTCCCACAGCCGGCCTCTGAACACACGTACATCCGTTGGCCCTCATGTGTGCGTTTGTGTGCTCTCAGGTTTGCTTTAACGCTGAACTTCTCAACGCATCCGTCGACTTCGCACCGGAATTCTTTGGTCGCCTCAACCCGTCTGCTGTGCGAGGCTTTGAGGTGATCGTTGAGCACATCTCGCGATTTATACTCAAACTCGCAGTCCTTCATCGGACAGACAAACGTACGGCCATAACGCCGACGCACTGGTATCTGATCCGCTGTCTTAT